TAAAGCAGCAGAGTTGCAACTTGCTTTAAGCATGACCTGCCATTGTGCAATACGCACAATTGATCATTTAAGTGAAATCATGAGAGGGCATGGTCAGTGGAGTACATTGGAGCACATACAGTTGCATAAAAATAAATGTTTATGCTTAATAAAAAATATTATATCGCCTGCACTTAAGGATGACCTTATTGATGATTTTCGGAACAAGAAATATGCCATCATTATAGATAAGTCTACTGACTTTTCCACTCAAAAGTACTTGTGCATTATAGTTAGTTTTTTCAGTGACAGGAACAATGAAATATTTACTGGATTTCTTGCTTTAATTTCCTTGCAAGTGGCTACAGGAGAAAACTTATTTGATTTGATTGATAAGGAAATCAAAAGGTGTGGTCAGAGTTTTACAAAATGCATTGGGTTTGCGTCAGATGGCGCTTCAGACATGGCCGGGAGCAAGAACTCTGTATGGTCCAGAATTAAAGATGTGTCTCCTTCTTGTGTACAGCTCAGATGTATCTGCCATTCACTAGCAGTCTGCATTTGTAGTGCAGTTGCCAAGCTGCCATAAGATATTGGTTTCTTACTGTCAAAAATACCTCAGTGGTTTCGTCATAGTGATTTAAGACGAGAAGCCTATAAAGAACTGTTTAGAGTGATGAACGCATCTACGGAGTTTGAATAAGAACAAACTGCTCCTCTTTCATTTGAGAAACTGTCATCTATTAGGTGGCTTGTGTGTGGAAAGATGATGTTCAATATGTTGGTGAACTGGAAAGAATTGAAAGCTTATTTCACATGTGCTGAATTAGCACAGACAACGTTTGACACAAAATATAAAGTAAGATTGTTAAAGGAAATGCTGTTAGACCACAATCATTATTTGTACTTTGTGTTTGCGACACCTATTGTACAAGAATTTGAAAGACTGAACAGTCTTTTTCAACAGAAAAAAAAAGCTGATTCTTATGAACTACACCAAGAACTGTCCATGCACCAGAAAAGTCTTAAGAACAGACTGTATGACGTTAATAAGCAGAAAAAAAATATTCATCACGTTGACTTTGGTATTAAATTTCTAACGGAATGTAATGCTTTCCTACAGAAGAATAACAGGACTGAAGTTCAGATAGAAATAAACAATGTTAAAGAAAGATGTATTGCAACTCTACGGGAAAACAAGAAATACAAGCATAGTGCAGGTATACGCACCCACCAATGATGGTTACACCTTGGAAGAGAAAGATAACTTCTTTGACTCAGTATCGGATGTTATCAGTCAGATACACGCAAATGATGATCTTACAGTAATAGGTGACCTAAATGGGCATATAGGGCAGAGGCGAACACCGTGGGGGGAATATATCGGGCCACACTCAGACATCAGCAAAGTCTGCAATTACAACGGGCAGCGTATTTCAGAACTTTGTGCAGAGCATGGCCTTTATGTCACCAACAGTTCCTATCAGCATCGACAAAGCCAAATAAACACCTGGTATAAATGGAGCAACCCAGACCAGGCCGCACAGTTGGACTACATACTAAATCGACAAAAGAGAAGAAGCTTAGTAAAAGACGCAAGAGTAATTCCTAACATCTCTTTAAATACGGACCATCGACCGCTGATCGTATATCTAAGCGAAACAACAATTAACAAGAAAACCAAAAACATCAGTATGTACCTCAATGATTGACATTAGACACCTAAGCAATCTAGACAACCAAGCAAAAGTACAGGCAGAAATAACGGCGAAGATGGCTGAACTAATAACATCAAGTGACAATGTGGAAGCTGCGTGGCAAAAATTTAAGAACACTCTTCTGAACTGCCTAACAACACTCTGTGGTATTAGATACACAGGAGGAACGTTCAGGAAAAAAAAACAGCATGGTGGAATGATAACGTTAAACAAGCAGTGAAATGTAAAAAGGAGCAATACAAGAAATGGCTAAGATCCCGCTCAGATGGCGATTATATCAAGTACAGAATTGCCAGGCGACAATCTGCAAGAGAAATTAAACAATCCAAGGAAACATCCTGGATCATGTATGGGGAAAATCTTACCAAAATCTGTGCTAAATCTAGTAGACAGTTTTACAAAACCATTGCAAAAATGAGAACTAGAGATGAACCATTCCAGCCGAATATGTCAATGATAGTCAAGGCAAACCCATACATGAGGAGGGCAAGATCAGAGAAAGGTGGAAAGAATATTTTCAGACTCTTCTGAATGTAACAGGAAATGAGGAAACAGTACCATTCACACCCAGGTGTACAAACGAGGAACAGTCTACAATAATCGAACAAGAAGTCAGAGAAGCAATCAGATGCAGTCCCAAAAATAAGGCATCAGGTGTTGATGGAATATCAGCCGAGGCAATACAGGCTTGTGGAGAAATTGGAGTCACCTGGCTACTCCACATATTTAGGAAAGCCTGGAATGAAAGAACTGTACCAATAGACTGGCAAAGAGCACTTATGGTCCCAATTTGGAAAAGAAAAGGCAATAAGCAAGATTGTAACAATTACAGAGTCATCTCCCTTTTAAGCTACGTAGGAAAAATGTTTGCCAAAATTCTGGAACAACGAATTAGATCCGTTGTAGAACCGATCCTGAGCCCATCACAGGTCGGATTTAGGAAAGGAAGAGGGTGTACTGACGCTATTTTTGCTTTAAGACAAGTTAGCGAAAAGACAATAGAACACAGACGTCAAATGAACATCGCTTTCATAGATCAAGAAAAAGCTTTCGATAGAGTAAACATAAATTTATTATGGAAAGTTCTTGAAAACTACGGTATAAATGGAACAATTTTAGATTGTGTTAGGGCTATTTATAGACAAAGTGAAAGCGCCATTAGAACAAGAGCTGGCATCACAGACTGGTTCCCAGTAACATCAGGAGTAAGACAAGGTTGTGTATTATCACCTTTACTTTTCATAATATTTATGGACAATATTAATAAAAATAGACATAACACCAACAGATGTCGATAAACAGGAGGACTTCAATGAGCTTCTCTTTGCCGACGATCAATGCATATTTCACAGTGATAGTAAACAGCTGCAAGACCACATAAACCTACTACACGACAGTTGCCTCAAGCATCATATGAAGATCAATACTGAAAAGACAGAAGTCATGAGCATAAGTAGAGAGCAACAGACCATCGACATAAAGATTCTAGATCACAGCCTAAAACAAGTGCAAGAATTTAAATACTTGGGAAGTATCTTTACATTCAATGGTAAAATAGACAGAGAGATCGAAGCAAGAATCCAACAATGTCGCATACCAGCTTGCCCCAATTTTAAAACACTCTGCTGTCCCAGCTGAGATAAAAAGACAAATTAAAAATACAATCTTTATACCGACATTAGGTTATCAATGTCAGACTTGGACATTAACAAAAGAACACGAGAGAAGACTAACCACCTGTGAAATGAGATGTTTGAGAATGGCTGCGAATAAAACCAGAAGAGATCGAGTGATAAACGATGTGATTACAAGAACTATTGGAACCATACCCATCGTTAAATTTATTGAGAAGCAAAGAATGAAATGGTTTGGTCACCTAATGAGAATGGAACCAACGATGCCAGCATCAAGAGCATACAACATGAAAATCGAAACACCAAGAGGCAGGGGAAGACCAAGAAGAAGATGGATTGAAGAAGTCACGGACAACTTGAGACTTCATAACATCACGGCATATGAAGCGACTGAGCGCGCCCTGGCTCGGTTGCCGATCATGTGATAGACTGCGACGCCTAGCGGCACAAGCAGATTTTGACAAAAGAAGAAGAAGAAAGAAAGATGCATGTCTGTCCTAGAGAAAGCTCTCAATCAAATTACGTGTAGACTTCCCGCTGAGAATATTTTTCAAAATCTGTCAAAATTGAGCCCTTTGGCAGTTTTAAATCAAATATCAAGGACACAGTTTTCAGAGCTACCATTTTTACACCTGGCAGAAAACAACATCAGTATTATAGAAGAACATTACAGGAAACTGATTGTTGTCAACTGGAAAGAAGAAGCTACATTTAAAAAGGATGGACTAACTACAAACAGGGAAGATTTTTGGATAGGCGTGTGTATGTATGTATGTAAGTTGTACCCCACCAGGACATCACACAAAGCGATAAACACCCAGTGACACAATGTGCCACCATGTGGATGAGAATCACCGTGGAGAGGTCCCAGAAACTGCTTTCAGCCTTTAGGCCATATTTATGGCCAGACTATATTGCGACCTCTGGCAAGAGCCAGAGTAGGGCTTCAAATAACGAAAAATTATATTCTAAAAAGGATGGGAAGTAGATGAATGTTGGATAGGCGTACTTCGACACCAGGCATTTAAAGAGTTGGCCACTAATAATGCCAGTTAGCAACGCTGTAGTTAAGGGAATAATCTCTCTTGTTACTTCAACTAAATCAAAAGCAAGAAACAAAATACAACTGGATTTCCTTGATGCAGTTGTCAGAATTAGAGCAGAACGATTGATGTCAAAGAAATGTTGCAAAGACTTCATTCCATCTGAGAAAATGCTTAAAGATTTTACATCCGAAAAGGTTTACGCTGTATCTTCCACTGGTTCCAGTGAGGATGACAGTGAAGAATTCAATCTAGAGCTTTTGATGTGAAGTGAGTACAATGTTACACTTTATTTGGCTTTTCTGGCATATTTTGGGTGATGGTTTGGCATAAAATGAAGTTTTTTTTTTTATCTGGCAACCCTGCTTCTGATAGAAATACAAATCCCCATAACTCTCAACTTTAAACTATATCCCCACAACTTCAGACTCCAAATTATCCTCTGTATTCTTTGCAAATAACGAAGTGGGGACAATAAATACCACCGTTTTATTGTTCAGATTTACAGTTAACTAAATATCTGTGTATAAAGCACGTTCTTCCATAACTTCACAATGTAATTTTCATTACAATTTTTAGGTTCTTTTAACATAACATTCCCCAGCTGTTTGCTCTGACAGGATTCAATGGAATCGACTCTCAGGTAAATACAAATGTAAGATAACTAATGGATGATGGAAGCATTTTAGGTATCAGAGGTTTGTTACTATGTTATTGAATATGGAAGGTACCTGATAAATACAGTAAAGTCTGTTTATTGCTGGTTGCTAAAATCTTTTTTTTTTTCTCTAACATCTGGAAATCAAAGACACTTAGCAAACACACAAAACTCAAGATCTTCAATTCTTGTGTGATTCCAGTACTAACCTATGGATGCGAGAGTTGGAAATCAACGAAAACTCTAGACACAAAATTAGACAGTTTTGAAAATAAATGCCTTAGAAGAATACTAAATTTCAAATGGTCAGATTTCCGAACCAATACACAAATAAGGCAAGAATCCAGGCAAGAGTATGTGTCTAATTTTATACGAAAACGCCGCTGGAACTATGTCGGCCACGTCCTTAGAATGGATAAATCAAGACTTCCTTACCAAGCCCTCATTTGGACACCACAGGGGAAAAGATCTCGTGGAAGACCAAGGGAAACCCTACGTAGAACTATCATCAGGGAAGGCTCGCTCATGGGCCACTCAAACATCCAAGACCTACAACGGATTGCAACGGACCGCCGTGCATGGAGAGTCACGACCTCTGCCCTATGTGCCGCACTCGACACAAGAGGAAAGACTAACTAACTAACTAAGTGGACAAAGGTGCTACATTTTAGTAGTCCAAAGGCCAGAAATTTGTAGGGTATACGTAAGTGTGTGTGTGTGTGCGTGCGCGCGGGCGGGTGGGCGCGCTAGCGGGTGGGCATAATATGTGGGTGGTTGAAGTGAGTAGGTGGATGAACATGCACATAGATTTGCATGTGTATGCTTTTATGCATCCCTACATTGTGCATACAATAATCCATATATTTGTAGGCTCTCCTCCGAACTTCAACCCGATATTATGGCGGCCATAAAATATCCTTATGGGGCTCAGTTCTATTAAAAATATGCCAGCTCCGTATAACGAAACAAATGCTCTAACAGGGTCTCAGCGATATGTTACTTGCAGACCTGTTTCTGTGACTATGCCTCACCGCCGACCGTATCCCTGCGAATGGGGGCTAAACTAGATGGCTGGGACTCACGAGCAGCAGCTACGGCGTCTCCTGCAACTTCCTCCAATTAATTTGCTCGTGAGTCCCAGGCACCTAGTTTAGTTCCCCCATCCGCTCGGATTCGCTCGGCGGTGAGTTTAATCGCATTTTGCGCATGCTATTATCATCTGCTACTATCGTCTGCAGAAATGCTCAAAATTGTCAACGGTTGCTATTATCCTCTGCTACTATCGTCTGCAATGTTGCGTCTCTTAAAATTGTCAAGTAATCCTAGTTTTTCCGCGATTTGCTCCTTGGCAAAAAGTCCGCATTTTACATATGCCTGAGCCCCGTAAGGATATTTTATGGCTGCCATAATATCGGGTTGAAGTTCGGAGGAGAGCCTATTTGTATGTCTGTAAATACCCATGCTGAAACATGTATGCTCAGTTACAAGTAATTATACATACATTTATAACTTTGAAGAAGGGAACGTCCATCCCGGATAGACAAAGAAAAGGACAGTGAAACAGCATAAACTGTAGCACACATGAGGCATGTTTAGGGCATGATAGGGAAGGCAGCTACTATCATCAAAGATATTGTGGTCATACCATGTTTTATCAAAGTTCATAATGGCAACATAAAAAATACAAAAGAGAATATAAAAAACTACATATATGTTTTCAATGTTGAACAGTTGTTGACATATAAAGAAAACCAAATACACATTAAAAGTTAAAGTCATCAAATATTATCTATACTCAGTCATACTAAAGGATGCAGAAACCTGGACAATGATCAAGCAAATAAAGATGGATTTGAGGCCCTAGAGATGTGGATATATGGAAAAGAAATGATATTTTCTTGTAATACGAACACATTCAGAGACCTTAGAGAGACTAGAAATAAGATTATGTAGGCAGCCCTCAGTCCCTAGAGACCATGGAGCTGTGCCAGTGGTTGTGGGAACAGCATCTGTTGTGACTGTAAGGTCCAGGTGGTTGTGGGAACAACATCTGCTGCGACTGTGAAGTCCAGGTGGTTGTGGGAACAACATCTGCTGCGACTGTGAAGTCCAGGTGGTTGTGGGAACAGCATCTGCTGCGACTGTGAAGTCCAGGTGGTTGTGGGAACAGCATCTGCTGCGACTGTGAAGTCCAGGTGGTTGTGGAAACAGCATCTGCTGCGACTGTGAAGTCCAGGTGGTTGTGGGAACAGCATCTGTTATGACTGTGAAGTCCAGGTGGTTGTGGGAACAGCATCTGCTGCGACTGTGAAGTCCAGGAGATTGTGGGAACAGCATCTGCTAAAACTGTGAAGTCCAGGTGGTTGTGGGAACAGCATCTGCTGGGACTGTGAAGTCCAGGTGGTTGTGGGAACAGCATCTGTTGTGACTGTGAAGTCCAGGTGGTTGTGGAAACAGCATCTGCTGCGACTGTGAAGTCCAGGTGGTTGTGGAAACAGCATCTGCTGCGACTGTGAAGTCCAGGTGGTTGTGGGAACAGCATCTGTTGTGACTGTGACGTCCAGGTGGTTGTGGAAACAGCATCTGCTACAACTGTGAAGTCCAGGTGGTTGTGGGAACAGCATCTGCTGCGACTGTGTCATCCAGTGCAGGGATGGCAGTCTCTCCCAAGTGTTAGTGTCAATGTTCATATCTTTCAGGGCACGTTTGCATATGTCTTTATAGTATAGCCTTGGCCTTCCTGCAAATCTGTTTCCTGTTTCCAGCTCACCATACAGGTGATCTTTTGAAATGTGACTGTCTGTCATGCAGGAGACCAGTGTAGGCACCTTTACAGCAGTGAAAGTACATTGCTGACATTTTTTTGTTTTTTTTAGTACACATTCACTAGAGACAAAGTCTCACTATGATATCTAAGAATGTGTCTTATACAGTGCATGTGGAAAGTCTTCAGTCTTTTCAGTCTAATTATTATAGCCACATAAAATACATAAAAACGTTGTTAAAACCTTAATAGAGGGAGAAATTGTAGGGAGGTAAGCAAGAGATAGACAGCGATTTAAGGCCAAACTCCACAGATAAGTGCTGAAGGAAATCAAAAATAGTTGTTGCCCGAGTTGTCACTTTTCTGCTCTCATTATAAAGATGATTTAGGCCTGAGACTTGTTTGACCAACTGCCTTTGAACTCACTTAAGGTCTTATCAAGTGACAATATGATTCACAAGTGGACAAATGACAGCAACATTATGCAGTCATTGCATTCTAGAATGTATTAAACATACCATTTAAATTTAACATTTAAATTAGAATTTAGAATAATATGTATCGACACGCACATGCATGTTTATGCACACCTGTGTACACACACAAATAAATATATTTATATGTTCATGTGTATGTTTAGGGAAGGTGAAGTATCTTCAAGCCATGGACCAGGTGATGAAGATGTTGACAGTGCTGCACTGAAGCCTGTCATCAAAACAGAAACATGGATGTCATCGCTGCCACCTAGTTTACACAATTTGCCTCTCATAAAATTAGCCATTCCGGGTGAGTGAATGGAATTAATACTTGCATGTAACTGTGTCTGTTTAGCTAAGCATTTTCACAAGCATGCATCAAGTTTAAAATATTTGGAGTGCAAAATTAATGTTTGAATGTAATATCCTCTATATATTAGAGTTTGATTTCCGCTGCAGTTTTGTTTTTCATATAAATTCTACTGCATTCATCTGAAGATGTGATTGAATTGTGCCCATTTACAGCATGGCTCTGATATCTGCACTTTTTCCGCTGCAGTTTTTTCTTCATTTAAATTCTACTGCATTCATCTGAAGATGTGATTGAATTGTGCCCATTTACAGCATGGCTGTGATATCTGCGCTTTTCGGCCAACACATCCGACTTCTGCAGACATTTGTTGGCCTACCAAGTTTTGAATAAATTAACAGTTCTTGTAGCTTTCAGAGAGTAGTAAAAGAATCACACCATGGAAGAGGTTGAAGCTTCTCCATGTATTATTCCTAAAGGAGGCAGCGGGTGCAATGCAGCCAACCTTCATTGTGGAGATGGCAAAACAGTTAATGTTTGAGCTTGGAAAAGGAAAGCAGACTTTGAATACAACTATAGGAATTCTGCTCAGAATGAGGCTGTAGTAAAAAAGATAGTAGGAAGTAGTTATTTCTGTAGGTGGTCTAAGCCGCTCCACTCTGTGCTGTCAATGTCAGACAGGGTCACTTTCAATAACACAGGAATAAAAATTAGTAACTATGGATATGAAATATTCGAGAAAGACTAAAAGAGTGAGCAGAAGAAATCAAATACAATTGTAGGTGGTAAGAGAAAAGGTCAACATAGAGGCATATTAAATTACGTAGAAAGAAAGCAAATAATATATGGCTTGCCCATTTTGAGAGAATGCCTTCTGACACCTACAATACAAGGCATAGACCAGTATCCAAGCTGCAAAAAAATGATACAAACAAGATGGCAGCAGATAAGAAGTGCCACAACTACACACACACACACACAAAATCAAATTGCAGTTGCAGAAGCGGAATCCACAAAACAGAAGTGACAGTCAGCCTTCAACAATTCAGTGTGTCAACAGTTAAACAAAGTTCATTCAGAACTTGGTACCGAAGTGCATTCAGTGTAAACAAACACTTGAAGTACAAACTGAAATTCGTGAGTCATTCTCTGTGCTGTATACCAGTTCAAAGCTATGGTTTAACTTTCAGTTTTCATAATATTGAGAGTGAATGTGTTGGTAAAGACAACTCCCCCTGTAGATTCTCGGTTCCCGTTGTTGAGATAAATAGAGTAGCATGTCGTAAGAGTAGATTAACTAGGGATGTTTCCTTCAAAGTCGAAGTGCATGTGCCTGACAGGTGAGCAACTAACATTCTGTATACAAATAAAGCCACATCTGTAAAATAAATGTTCAGGCAAAACTCAGGTTCTGGAACAAGACTGAAGTCCAGAAGTGGATGAACAACCAAAACTTTCTGCCAAAGTTTATAGTTGATTAAGGCAAAGAAGAAGAAGAAGAAGAAGAAGGCAGTTACAAAATGCATCACTGTTCGTATGAAATGTTTGGGTTTTGCCATGTTTTTATGGCTTTAGATCTTTTAAATAATTATTATTTGAATGTACGAGTACTACTGTAATATATTTAAGTATTTTATTTTAAAGATACAACGTGATACATTTTTTTTGTTGTGAGCATTTATTTTTAAGATGTACATACTTATTGTTATTTTAGTATGCTGTAGAATATTTTAACACGATTGTGACTACTTTGCTTCATTTCTACAGTGCTTCGTTACTTTTCTATTCGATCTTTAGGTGTTGACAATGTTCATCATCTCATTTATTTTTTAGGCACACATAATTCAGGCACATTTTCATGCTGTACAACACTTGCACCTGATGCAGACAGTGCTATCAAATTGATGACCAGAATTCCAAATATGGGCGGTTTTGTTGACAGTGTCATTCTTCGATGGGCCCAGTGTCAGAGACTAAACTTCACTCAACAGCTGCTCTCGGGAATTCGTTATTTTGACCTAAGAGTGTCAACAAAGCCTGATTCTGATGAGTTCTTCTTAGTGCACACTGTATATGCTGCAAAGGTTTGCATTTTCCTATTGTATAAGATTACATTTTGCAGTATTACTGGAAGTAATACATTGTATGTATTACATATATTACCTTACAGTGTCCAGTAAATCTTCATTCTTACAAATAAGACCAGTAATATGACACAGTTTAACTAAACCCTATGAGGTGTTTAACTTTCTCTCATGGTGACCTGGGGGGTGCACTCTGGTCCTTTGCCATCTTCCCTGCCTCATGCATTTGTATGTGCAGGTTGTCTTTCATGTCCTAAATCCACCTTCATACTGATGATCCCCTGCCTTGGCCTCCTTGCCATTACTGATCATTCTAATGCTGATCAGTCTAAGCTATTTTTTTTTTTTTTTTGGCTTCTGAGAATTTCAGCTTCTGAGACATGATGCTGTTTATTAGGTAGTTTTCTTTGATATTAAAAACTTATAGAGTACCACAGTTTTTCTCCTTCTTGTTCCAAATTATTTTATTAATTGTTGTGTGACATTTATACATATTTTCATCATGTGTGCATTAATTTATTTCCTTTTGTTGTGTAATACTGATTAACTTCTGCTTTGCAATGATCATTCTCTTTGTTGCTTTTTTTGGACAGTCTTTTTTATTTTTAACTATGGAGGTATGATATTCACTGTTTGTGATATTGTTAGTTTCTTCATTTTTGATTTGAGTTAGTTAGTTGACACGTATTTTGACTACAGCCATTTTTTTGGCTGTAAAGTTTGGCAACATATTGATCTGTGCAGAAGAGAGGGACTTAAATAGTGTAAGAGATTCACCAGTGTGCTGCTTATAGAAACAGCTAAACAAATTACAAATAATATGAGGTGAGGTAAAGATTCTGGCACTGGATATAGCACACATTGAGAGAACCTTCTAATTACGTAAGTAACAAGACCTGCCTCTGGAACCCTCAGGGCAAAAAAAAAAAAAAAAGAACCTAGAACACATGAAGAGGAGAGTGAGATATAATATGAATGATAGGGAACAATCAACTAAATGCACAAACATATTTTTTTCCTTCCAGAGGAAGAGGACATGGAGGGTGCTGCAGTAAATAGAAAAGGTAGGGGGTCTTTGAGTGAATCAATCGAGGGTATATACCGCATTAGAAGATAAATATGTAGAAAAGGAGAATACATCTTTCAGCTGCTAGATTACAGGGCAGCACATCTACAATAAAATCCAGTAATCCTGCACCAAAAATTCCCACACAATTGTGATCGTTGTTCAGTTCTCATTTCATAAGTTTAGGTGGACCTTTGAGCCACACTGATCAAGTGTCAATCCTTGCCTTGATGTGGATCGAAACCAGACTGTTGTCATGGCAAGCAAGAGTTGATGTATTGTGCATAATTGTGATTATTTTACAAATGCCTAAAGGAGAGGTATGATTGGATGCCAGCGTCAGATGGTGTTCTTGTGAACACAAACAGCCAGTACTCATGGAAAACCCTTGAGACCAAAGAATAAACATCAGGAAAAAAGACACAGAAATCGTTGCCACTCAGTGTTTCATGTTTCATCTATGTTAACTTTTCTTGTACAAATTTGCTTTTTTTAATTTTCTGAGTCCATAATTTGACAATAGCATGTTGTGACCATATGCATGCTTTCTCAACCCGTTTTGGCAGGTCAATGAACTTATCGAAGCTGTCACCTCATTTTTGGACAGTCATCCTCGTGAGATTGTTTTGCTGGATTTTAATCATTTCTATGCGATGGAAGAAGAGCATCACGTGCAACTAATTACCTACCTCATCGCAGAATTTGGTCCTAAGATTTGCCCTAGATGTCCCATTGATGAGCTGACATTGTCCAATCTTTGGGTGAAAGGTCACCAGGTAGGTTACTATTGTAATGTATTTTTTAAAAAGTTATCTTATATTTTGATTTGTTAGAGTTTCAAGAATAGGAAACACATTTGTGTTGTTTGACTGATACCAAAAAATGTGTACACAAGTGTGAAATTTTTGATGATAGACATGATGAAACAATCGTTTTTGTGTAACTAGTATAATACAGTCAATGTTAATCATTTTAATATGTCTTCAAAACCAATTTAACGGCCACATCAGTGGCATAGTTTGAAAAATTAACTAATTGTAGACATTGTGTTCCCTTCATTAGATACCACAGTTTATTCATCTGCTGGCAGAAAGTTTGCAGTCAGATGCGATTAATGTGATTTTATTTGAGAAATCATTCTAAACTACAGTAATATATGAATAAAAGAAGATAATTGTGACACTGAGCACTGTATTATTAATACTATGCCTTACTGAGTTCTTAAGTTACACATCTCGAGGTGCAGTCAGGCATCACAGAAAAACTATCTCAACTTCCAAGAGATGAACTTTTGCTTGACCCACTAACTACCTTGATTGCACATTATGTGATCCGCCAGCATTAACGCTGGGCTACCACAATTGCAACCACTGCGATCGTACCTTTGAACGCTCACCGCCATGTTTATAAATTTAGTTGAAAACATGAGTCATTCTTTTCTTTATGTTTATTTATTTAAGGGACATAATTTGCTAGTGCTTAAAGTAAATTGTCCACCTCCCATGTTGATGATTCATTAGGCACATAATTTCATAATGAAGCTGATATTTAGGGGCAGCATGGTGGAACAGTTTCGAGAATGTTTATTATGCAGTGGGATATTGTCTTGATTGTTTCAAATCAGAAAGTGAAGGTGAAGGTATTTCTGAACAGTTTGATGACTGTGACTTTGCTAATTCTTATGAACTGCCATAAAAAATATAGTCAGAACTGAAAGATGACGTTTAGCTTACAGCAGTCGCGTGACAGTCGGAGGTAGGTGTGTTATGGTATATTAGTTTGTGTAAATTGTTTTATGTATATGCTTCATGTTTGTAATGTTGGATGCCTCTGTTAGAATAGATTGTGTATATTACAGCTCTGTAGCTTGCATTTAGTGAAAATCGTTTCACAAGGAATGTTCATTGTAAAATAAGGAATCAACATCATAGCACTCGGAACACCCATATAAGCGCTCCATCCTTATCTTCAGCAGCAAACAAAGAGTTCCTATTCTGATGGCGTTTCATAATGAAATCCTCAGCATTTAGTGGGATGCCATTCCGGCCATGCATGTTTTGGGAAAAAATCATTTTTGTGGCTTTTTGAGTTTGACATTTCAGTCATACTGTAACAGAAATTCTTGCTGCAAAGTGGCAGACAGCCACTGGATTTCCAGAATTTTATTTAACAGTTAAGCAGAGCTCTCATCCAGGATTATTTCACAGTTAGGCAGAGCTCTCATCCAGGATTATTTCACAGTTAAGCAGAGCTCTCATCCAGGATTATTTCACAGTTAAGCAGAGCTCTCATCCAGGATTATTTCACAGCTAAGCAGAGCTCTCATCCTGGATTATTTCACAGTTAGGCAGAGCTCTCATCCAGGATTATTTCACAATTGGGCAAAGCTCTCATCCAGGATTATTTCACAATTGGGCAGAGCTCTCATCCTGGATTATTTCACAGTTAGGCAGAGCTCTCATCCAGGATTATTTCACAATTGGGCAGAGCTCTCATCCCGGATTATTTCAGCAAAAAAAAAAGATATATTTATATTGATTGGTGCCAGAAGATTGTTGGGTTGTCTTTTTTTTTTAACCATTGTACAGCCACATGATGATGATGTGAAAAATGATTACACAATTTTTTAATTATTCTTGAAATTTGTGCTTTTTTAAATTTGGCACAAAATTGCAAAATGTTACGAGTTTATGTTAAATAATTGTGAAGCTGTGACATTTTCAGTAGACACTGATACGTGGTATTTGGGAAAATGCGAGGGTTAACGAACTTGGTAGTCAGTGGGTTAAGAGCAGTGGCAGTGAATCGAAGAAAATGGTCTTCGTAAATGATTCTTTATTAATATTACATCTTCCATTTTCATGACTATGTTTTATCAATTTGGATTTTCAGGTGATAATCTTTTACCAAGACAAAGCAGTTGAACCTTTTGAGGAAATGTGGCCAAAGCAACAAATCTGCACCTTTTGGCCAAATACAGACAATCCTGAAACTTGCATTGAACGTCTGCACAAATTGTTTAATAACAAGGAGCCACCAGCGGGCATACCACATTTCAGAGTTTGTCAAGGTAATTTTTTGCAAGATATGTGGTAGTTAACTCTTTGAGTCCCAAGGAACGCATCATACGTTCATAGGTTGCCACCTAAAAGCCTAATGAATGCATGATGCGCCGATTTTATGACTCTATTTACTACCCCCTGGGCCTGTGATGCTAAACCCCCTGGGACTCAAAGAGTTAAGCTTTGTCACCTCAACACAATATGGTAAGCATTGTGTTGCATGTTATCATTTTCTCTAATATGAGATTAAATCTACATGCTGTTGAAAGTCGCAAGATGTGGAGAAATATTATCACCCGTGCCAGTTAGTAAGGTTCTTGATAATGATTATTTCATTAAATCAACTTGACTAACTGGAAGCACAGATGGATCATTACCTTATGGAGACAGTATTGCAGCAGGGAGGGACTAAGGGATCTGGCCAATACTACACTCAGAGGAAATGCAAGAAAACTTCTACTAGTGTCATCAACATTGAAAATCTTCGCTGGCTGCTGAATATGAGGACAGAGTGCTTATGGGAATGCCCAGAGTGCTGTGATGTTGGTTCTTAACTCAACATTCCATTACTTGTACCTGCTCCTTCCTTAAGTATATCAGCTGGTGAGTAATGCACCATTGCATGCAGGAAGAAGCGTGGACTCAACTGTGTGGATTAGGTTGATGGACTGTGATGAGTCTCTGACACTAACCTGATAAAATGACCTGGTGAAGCATATCTATATTGTCTTTGAGGTCATGATAGAAGTAATTATAACCAGCTTCTAGCACAGTCGATAGATGCATCTTAGTGACTGCTGCATTGGAGGACTGAGCATGCATGGGAATACCTGGTGTACAGAAATGTCAATTGTAATAACATGACATAATTTCTGTATTTATTGCAATGTATAGTGTCACATACTACTGGATGTAAATTTACCTAGAAAACCATAACAGCCAAAAATGCTGGGGTTGGTTCTGCAACGTCCTGTAAAGGATACGCAACTAACTTTATAATGTCACATAACTGGAGGAGCTGGTGTTTCTCAATGGCCCTGAGAGCTGTTCTGGCAACAGCGTAGCTATCAACAGGGCCTCATAAGCTGGGAAGGTAAACAGGCTCAGGGCATTTACGGCACTCGGATGAACGATGAAGAAGAAGAAGATTCTCTCGCCATCTCCAAAGTGTGGCTGTTCAGTTTATTTGGTTATAATGATATCATTGGCATTTTTTGGGGGGGGGGGGGGGGGGGGGCGTTTATTTTTATAATTCTGACATGCCAGATGCCGGACATGTTTTCCTGCAATAAATTTAAATACTGTGGATGCATGCAATACATTGCACAATTTATTGCCAGGCATATTTTGTTGTATTTCGTCAGGTGCATTACTACAGTTACATCAACATAAAAGAAAGCACAAAAACTGAATAAATACAACTGTAACATGAGTGTTTTTTCTTCCAGTGCATCTTGTTTGTCTAGTCAGCGGACGTTCATTGCACATATAAAATTGCCCAGTAAAACCACAAGTGGCCAAAAGATGCTAGGGTTGGCTTGTGATATCCTGTGAAAGATTGCAGAATACTTTTTAAAAAACTTTAATGGCGATGTTTACATGTTTTTGTGATAAAGATTTTGAAAGGATGTTCTGCAAGCAACACAAGAAGTATAGTGATTTTCTATCTTACTCTTGAGCATCAATTACTTATTTTAGCGCTGTAAGCACACGTGTTCACTGTATATTGCAGGTATTCTGACGCCGACCGCAGCAACGGTCACACAAAGTATATTTTGCCAAGAGTCAGTGGAGACTTTAAGTGAGAAGCATTTGCCACATTTCTTTGCTTGGATAGAGAAGTCTGTTCATTTCACCTACCCTCTAAATATAATTATATCTGACTTTGTAGAGAATAGAGGTTTGATACTGAAGATTATTGATCTTAACTATAAACGGGTGTTATATAAGTAAATGTTTCTGTGTGCTTGTGCTCAGTACTGCCTTAGTTAGCAAGTGAGAACCTTGTCATTTAAGCTCTATGATTTAGTTATAGACCCATTTAAAATGAGGCAGCTGGTCTGAAGGTGACGAATGTTTGAAGATTCAGCAGTAGACTGATGGAGTTGTATGCGTACTATCAGTAATACTATAATATTAATACTAATTGTAATGTACATCATATCATGGCATACCCAGGAGATTTGTCAGTTTAGAACATTTGTTAGCTATGAATTATTTCAAGTTTGTATGATCATTTCCAATTTCACTTTACAATATATGTGTTGTATTTATTTATTTTAGCATCTTTAAAACCTGTTTCACCCACTATATCAGAATTTGTTCACTGTGAAATGTTATAGTTTGAAATGACAGTTGAGCACATGTTTCATGAGTGTGTCGTGCACCTATATTGAGACCCTGAATCTGACCCACAGTTGTGATCCATAAATATCTATGTAGGTCTTACAGTCCTTAGACCAATTTTACAGTTTATATCTAAATCCTGATGAGACATCTCATCAGGATTGTGAGAAAGATGAGACATCTGAGCATGAATGTAAGAAAAAGATAAGGCGTCTCAGGAAGAATGTAAGACAGATGAGACATCACAGCAAGAATGTAAGAAAGATTAGACATCTGAACATGAATCTAAGAAAGATGAGACATCTCAGAAAGAATTTAAGACAGATGAGACATCACAGCAAGAATGTAAGACAGATGAGACATCTCAGCAAGAATGTAAGAAAGATGAGACATCTCAGAAAGAGTGTAAGACAGATGATACATCTCAGCAAGAATGTAAGATAGATGAGACATCTCAGCAAGAATGTAAGAAAGATGAGACATCAGAACATGAATGTAAGACAGATGATACATCTCAGAAAGAAAATGTAAGACAGATGAGACATCTCAGCAAGAATGTAAGAAGGATGAGACATCTGAACATAAATTTTAGACAGATGAGACATCTCAGCAAGAATGAAAGATAGGTGAGACATCTGAACATTGATCTAAGAAAGATGAGACATCTCAGAAAGAATATAAGACAGATGAGACATCTTAACAGAAATGTAATACAGATGAGACATCTCAACAGGAATGTAAGAAAGATGAGACATCTGAACATGAATGTAATAAAGATGAGACATCTCAGCAAGAATGTCATAAAGATAAGACATCTCAGCAAGAATGTCAGACATCTCAGCAAGAATGCAATAAAGATGTGACATCTCAGCAAAAATGTAAAAAAAAAAAAAAAAAAAGAGAGAGACATCTCAGCTAGAATGTAATAAAGATGAGGCATCTCAGCAAGAATGTAAGACAGATGAGACTTCTGAACAAGAAGGTGTTGTAATAAATGTTAGTAACGTTGTCATGTGTAACTCCTCTGTAAGTAATTTACTAGTTTGTTGAATCCCAAGTCGACCCAGCCTTAAATGTTTACCAGGTAAATTACTGGGAAGTAAAGGTGGCCAGAGTGATGCTGACCACATGACCCCAATTAAACTATTAAAATATGAGTCTAGCTTCACATGCCCGATGTGCCACTGGCGTGTGAAGGGACCTTTACTTTGTTTGTGCATGCCTCATGAAAAAAAACACCAAGAAATGTGTTGATCTTACAAGCATTCGTAACGTTGTCATGTGTAACTCCTCTGTAAGTAATTTACTAGTTTGTTGAATCCCAAGTCGACCCAACCTTAAATGTTTACCAGGTAAATTACTGGGAAGTAAAGGTGGCCAGAGTGATGCTGACCACATTACCCCAATTAAACTATTAAAATATGAGTCTAGCTTCACATGCCCGATGTGCCACTGGCGTGTGAAGGGACCTTTACTTTGTTTGTGCATGCCTCATGAAAAAAAAAAACACCAAGAAATGTGTTGATCTTACAAGCATTCGTTTAATTGAGAAGCATACAATAATAATTGCTTTTTGTATATTAAGAAATCTGAGTAAAAATAAATCAATATGAGAACAGTATTTACAAGAGATCACATGACCAACAAAACCCACCAACAGTGCACAGTACTGACTACTTGACTTTCCTCTCAAATATTGTCTGGAGAAACTAAACTTGTCTGCCACATTCTCATCTCTGAACAAACCCATTACTCAAGCCACTCGAAAAGTGCAAGACAAATACAGAAACCCACGACACTGGGCTACATACAACCTGGTATCAGTGAGATGACAAGAGAAAAAACCGGCTGTTAAGCTTGATATATCTTACATGATGCATGTTTTCGGTTTTTTTTTCTAGGTATATATGTCTGTGTAATATCTTGTTTCTACATTGAATCATTTCTTTTTGAAAATTAGTTTGAATGATTTATTTTTTAGTGTCAAATTTTAATTTTTTAAAATTTTTATACTTTAACTAAGATGTGTTAACTGTTTAATTCAAGCATCTTTATTTTACCTTCACTCTTTTAGATAAAAATAACTTTATGGGGAATTTGTTATTATAACAGCAGGATTGGAAAAAGTCAGTTTGAGCAAACTGCATTATCCAGATGTTCTCAGATTAATCTTGATATCTAACTATTCCTTTCTTACTCCAGTGGATACCAAATGCGGCTGTTATCATTTTATTTTTTTAGCCAATTTTTTTTTTCCTGTTTTCTTGGATATCCAGGACTTTGTCTAGTTTCATCTTACTCAGACATCAGTCTAGTTTTTCAAGAGGATGTCCAGTCAGGATTTAATCCAACACACTCACTACACAAGTGTATATCCATGCGGGGTCAGCAGCAACAAAGTGGGATTTTTCTAGGGTTGCCAGATTTCTGAACTAGGCAGACTCACCAACAAAATGTAGTCTCACATTAATTAAACATTTGGTTCTATTTATGTGTTTTAATGTATTATTTAGTTATTGTTTGTGCCTTTTTTCTTCATCTTATTTAAATTCACACCATTTATTTGGAATTCCTGGTATATTTCTTGTTTCCCACAAAACAGTTGTAACAATATCTTGGTCACAGTACTCATTCAACAAATATATAATCTCTTCATATTGTT